CTGTCTGCTGTTATCTCTGTCTTCTGTTATTTTGTGGGACAAGCAGTTGAACCCAGGGCTTACAAATGTAGGGGGGAATAACTACTCAAAGATATCAGAAGGAAAATTTAGCATTGAGTAAAGATTTTTAGGTCATGCAAAGAACTGCTGGTCAAGTATGGTACATATTTAAAAATAAATTGCTGCAGTGATGAGAAGCTAATTATAACTGATTAATGGGAAAGCAGTTTGCTATATGTTTATACACTTCAGTTTGAAAATGTTGGAAAGCTGCTTTTTGTGTCTTAGAGCTCCTTTTCTTCTCTTAGATGTGTAAATATTGACATGTTTAAAGGTCCCGTGTCTAAGCTGGGGCCCTAACCTAAGTCCTTATGTATACTAGGTAAGCTTTCTACTGCTGAGTTACATCCTTGCCCAGCCCAAGTTCTATCCTTTGCTTCTTTAGTAGTTATTGTTGCTTGTTAGAATTGGCTTAGTTGAGAAGCTGGCGGCTCAGTTGAGAAGCTATTTAAACAGTATTTACCTAAATCATACTTTGTTACATTCAACTAAAACACCTTTCTCTCATTTTGAATAATTATGTAGTTTTCCATTAAAATTAACCATTTAGAAACTTCTAATTTCTTTCTTAATTATAAATATTGTATTCTCATCATAAAGTCATTTATTTATGTTTTTGTGTATATGTGAACCTCCTGTGAGTCCTTCAGGAGCTGTATAGTCTGTCTTTTTTAAAAAAGAAAGTGTGTGTGTGTGTATCTTTGTGTGTGCATGTGCCCGCACCATGAAGAACTATTTATCTGTTGAGATGGGGGAAGACAGAAGGAGAATAGCTAGATCCTGAAGCAAGAGGCTGCTGATCTTTTCTACAGAAATTGTTTAGCATGAAGGTAACAGCAGACAGATGTTACAAGAATGATAATTTTTCCTCGTCACCTGGAAATCACCAGGTAGGCCAATCTGGCTAGCCAGCGAACCCCAGGGATCATCTTACTCTCTTCTTCTCCACCAAACTACCACCGGGCCTGACTTTTAAAGCATGTGATCAGGTTCTCAAGCAAGCATTTTACTTACACTGTATCCCTTGCTAGAGAGTCCATTTGATTCTGCTGCATTTTTTCTTTATTTTTTAAAAAGATTATTTAAAGTGTGTGGGTGTTTTGTTTGTGCAACATGTGTATGATGTGCCTACAGAGGCCAGAATGAGGAATCAGGTTACCTGAAACTGGAATTACAGGTGGTTCTGACATGCCCTGCGGGTGAGTTGAACACGTTTTATCGGAGACAAGCCAGCGCTTTTAACCTCTGAGCCATCTAGCCCTAGCACGGTTCTTTTTAATTTAGCTAGTTAATTTATCTTTAAACATTTATTTTACTTTTTAAATGAAGAGCATATGTGTGTGGATATGTGCAGGTGTATGCAGGTGCCCAAGGAGACCAAAGGCATTGGATTTCCCAGAACGAGTTGTGGGTGCTGGCAACCAAATTCATGTCCTCTGTAATAGCAACAAATCCTCTTTACCACTGTTCCATCTATCTCTTCAACCTCTTAGTTTAATTTTCAGAAACATCTGTTTAGGTGTGTGAGTGTATATATACACACATAGTTGTCTGCTCTGTAGAAAACAGAATAGGACATTGGATCTCTGGGGCTGGAGTTGCAGGCACTTGTGAGCACTTGTTCTCTGAAGAGTCCTGTCATTTCCAAGAGCAGCAAGCACTTTTAACCTCTAATTGAATTCACAGAAATTCTTCTGCTGCTGTTTCCCAACTGCTGGGATTAATGAAGGTGCTGCTACCATGTCTGGCAACTTACTTTTTAGGTTTTTTTTTTTTTTAAGTTATAAACTGATTGGCCTAGTTGCCCAGACTTCTTAACTCTTGTAACTTATATTAGCCCATTATTCTTGTCTATGTTAGCCACGTGGCTTGGTACCTTATTGGGTGAGGCAGTCACATCTTGCTTCTTCTGTGGCTTGGTCACAACTGCAGACTAGGACTTTTTTTCTTCTCAGAATTCTCCTGTTCTTCATTGACCCACCTCCACCTCCTGTCTGGTTGTCCTGCCTATACTTCCTGCCTGGCTACTGGCCAATCAGTGTTAATTTAAAATATAATTGACAGGATACAGACCATACAGACCCACAGCACTTCCTCCTCTTTTTTCTTTTTTAAAAATAAAACAAGAACTCTGAATCTAATAATCTTTGTTTAGCTTTTCTTCTGACTTATTTATAACAACTTGTAACCATCATTCTAAGCAAAGGAAAATATTCATAGTGCATTTTTTTTTTTTGGAATATGGGCACAGTTTTCCAGGCTACTTCTGCTGGTTGGGGGCACTGATAATCTTATGGGGACCTTAAGAAAATTTAGGATTGTGATCAAGTCATGACTGGAGTATCCTGTGAGGCTTGATCATCTCAGGCAGCAGTCTTGAATCTGTTCTGGATGGGATGTAGAACTTAGACATCTGGGACATCTATTTCTACCAGAGATTTCTCAGGTGATCTTCCTTGATCAAACCTGATTTTTCTTAATTCAGAATGAATCCACAGCCTCTTATTTCCTGTGGAAACAAAAACAAAACCAAAGTAACATACCTTTTGACTTCAATTTTGAAGTCAAGGTTTGTTTGTTTGTTTGTTTATTTATTTATTTATTTATTGGTTTTTTGAGACAGGGTTTCTCTGTGGCTTTGGAGTCTGTCCTGGAACTAGCTCTGTAGACCAGGCTGGTCTCGAACTCACAGAGATCCGCCTGCCTCTGCCTCCCGAGTGCTGGGATTAAAGGCATACGCCACCATCGCCCGGCGTCAAGGCATTTTAAAAATACCCATCTTGGAATAATTCAGCAGCATTTATAAACAAATATCTTTTGGCAGTTGTTGCTTATTCCTCAGCATTCAAACAATTTATAGATAACATAATAACATACAGTATCCAGACTCTTTGTATTTTTTCATCTTTACGTGGCTTTATTTTAACTTCTATTTCTTTTACTTGTATTTTAAATTTTTGGCTTTTTGAGACAGGGTTTCTCTGTATCTTTGGCTGTCCTGGAACTCACTCTGTAAACCAAGCTGTCCTTAAACTCACAGAGATCCACCTGCCTCTGCCTCACAAGTTCTGGGATTAAAAGTGTGTGCTACCACACCTTGAATTCATGGAAGTCTGCCTGTCTGTGTCTCCCACATGTTGGAATTAAGGTGTGTGCCACCACACCCAACTACTCCCAACTACTCTCTTTATTTTAAAGACTTTAACCTTTTTTCCCCTTTCCCAAGCCTGCATATATTTTTAACACATTGTAAACCATTGAGAGGTTTTCTTTGTCTTTGAATCTCTCTTTACTGTATGTATATCTCTCTTTTTCTGACCACATGAGTCTTTAATTTGCTAAGCAATATGACTAGGATTAAAGCCGTGGCTTTGGCTGGATCCGGCCCATTCCTTAGGTTTCTGAGGATTTCAGCCTCATGGCGGACGTATACTAGCGGAGCCATTTTTATTGCCACAACTCTGTGGTGTTTCAAGGTCTCTGCCACCAAGCAAGCTGCAGCAGTCTGCTCACAAACCCCACTCAAATGCTCTGTAGTTGGACCTCCTGTCTGAAAGAGTCAAAGAGTTTGCGCTGGTAGGACGGCCCAGAAAGCCAGCATTTTAAAATGGCACACCCTTTTCCTTGCTATGACTGGAAACCAAAAAGCACGTGGTCAGCTTTTCATCAACACCTTTTAAGTGTTGTGGCAGAGCCTCTTAAAAGGGCTATAAAGCTTTTGCAGCTAAAGCTGAGTCAGGAAGCCTTTCTTTCTTTTTTTAATATTTATTTATTATGTATACAATATTCTGTCTGTGTGTCTGCCTGCAGGCCAGAAGAGGGTGCCAGATCTCATTACAGATGGTTGTGAGCCACCATGTGGTTGCTGGGAATTGAACTCAGGACCTTTGGAAGAGCAGGCAATGCTCTTAACCTCTGAGCCATCTCTCCAGCCCCAGGAAGCCTTTCTTAAAAGAGAGTTTTTGCTTGCCTCTAGCAAGCAGAACAGACCTGGGAAATTGCTGCTACCAATAAACTATGTGTAATGCTGTTATTTTGTGTCTAGAGTTACTTCTCAAGCTCTTTCAGGCTTTATGTGGATGCAGTTGTCCACACATTGGGCACCATTCTGTTGTCTGAGTTTTCTGTCCTTCCCGGTTCCCGCAGTCATTACGTCCCAAAGAAATCACACAGAGGTCTGCATCAGTTATAACCTGATTGGTCTAGTGACCCAGACTTATTAACTCTTATAACTTATATTAGCCCATTATTCTTGTCTATGTTAGCCACGTGGCTCAGTACCTTATTCAGCGAGGCAGTTACATCTTGCTTCTTCTGTGGCTGGGTCAGGCATTTTGCTTGCATATGTGTATGAGTACTTGTTTCTCATGGCCTTTTTCATGCATCCATAGTTTTGGTTAACCCTTTCTTACCTTCTTTCCTGTATCCTTGCTTAATTTTCCATACCTTCTATTCTCATTTCTAATTTTATTGCATATGTGTTGTGCTATTACTGCCAAAACTTCCTTATTCCCCCTCTTGTGGGCTCCTTTTTAGTTACTTGACCTCTACATATACTCCCATGTAAACTAACTATCTCTCTCTCTCTCCCTCTCCCTCTCTCTCTCTCTCTCTCTCTCACACACACACACACACACACACACACACACACACACACACACACCTGCCTCACTCTTGTAGGGTCCCTCAGATAATTCAAAAATAACATGCATCTTAAGCACCTTGGTGACATCTTCCTTACCCCTACCTCCTTTTAGACTAGGTCCTTCTACATAGTTCTGACTGTCCTGGAACTCATTAAACTGGCCTTAAACACAGAGATCTCTGCCTCCCTAGTGCAGGGATTAAAGGTGACATGCACCACCACCACCTGATTCAGAATTCTCTTCTTCCCATTTTGAAAAATATTATCCACTATTAACACTTGTCTCTTTTTTCAGTTGGTGTAATACGGTGTCCAGTATGTCGTCAAGAATGCAGACAGATAGATCTTGTGGATAATTATTTTGTGAAAGACACATCTGAAGCTCCTAGCAGTTCTGATGAGAAGTCAGAACAGGTATGCACCTCAATTTTTCTGTATATTTTCTGTTATTAAAATGTAAATCATAGGAAAAATATTTGATTAAGTTATTTAGGCACTTTTGTAGTTCTGTATTTCCTGTTAGCAATAAACAATAACTCTTCCATACCCTCAGACTTGGTGAAATAAAGTACTTATTTGTTTATTGATTTTTCAACATAGGGTTTCTGTGTAACAGCCTTAGCTGTCCTAGAGCTAGCTCTGTAGTCCAGGCTGGCCTTGAACTCAAAATAATCTGCCTGCCTCTTCTCCTCGAGTGCTGGGATTAAAGTTGTGTGCCACCATCGCCCAACAAATATTTATTATTTCAAAAGATAAGTTTTGCATAGAGTTTTATGTTCTGAGTATTGGATTTTTACATATGTTTTACCTAGGGTTATTGGTTAAGGAATTTTGTTGAAGATAAATGAGTATCATGATGATTTTATTCTTTGTATAATGAATTAGTGTTTGTTGAGAACAAGTTGCAAAGTTTTTCTTTTTTTTGTGGGTCTACATTTGGCAAATATAATGTAGACTGGTGCTTTTCCCTTTTAGGTCTGTACAAGTTGTGAAGACAATGCAAGCGCAGTTGGTTTTTGTGTAGAATGTGGAGAGTGGCTATGTAAGACATGCATTGAAGCACATCAGAGAGTAAAATTCACTAAAGATCATCTAATCAGGAAAAAAGAAGATGTTTCAGGTACGGTGCATATAGTTGCAATTTAAAAAAAAGTGTGTGTAAGTGTATGTGTGTACTCATGCCACAGTGCTTACTTGTGGAAGTCAGAGGACATCCTTCAGGAGTTAGATTTCTATAGCATTTGAGTCCAGGGATTGGATTGTGACCATCAGGTTTGCCAGCATCTGCCTTTATTACTGACCTGTCTTGCTTGTCCCAATACACATAGTTTGAATGCTCACATTTAACCTTTAGTATGGTCTACTTACTTATGATTTTTTGATTGCTACCACCAATAAAAATAAAGTTAGTAAAAAATTTTATTATTTAAAAATATTTTATTTGTTACAGAGGCTGTTGGAGCATCTGGTCAGCGCCCTGTGTTTTGTCCTGTACATAAACAAGAACAGTTGAAATTGTTCTGTGAAACATGTGATAGACTGACATGTAGAGACTGTCAGCTGTTGGAGCACAAAGAACATAGGTACAGAAGTCAGTTGTTTACTGAAAAATATTAGAAATAGTACTGATAAATTTGTTTTTAGACAACTATTGGTACCATAATTTTGTTTTTACAGTATTTAAGCCCAGATTTTATTTCTTGAAGCAATCTATGTTTGATAAGATGTCTTTCATGTTCATATCTAATTATATTATGAATATTTGTTATGGTATATCATTAATGTGGGTTTGAGTTTGTAAGATTTGAGTTAGGTTACTTCCTTCTTCATTAGTCCTATGGTTCAAATAAGCTTTTTCCAAATGTAATGTATTTTGGTCGGAAGCTATATGTGAAGTAGTATTTGTATGGAGGTAACTGATGCAACTGATACCATGTTTTAATATATAAGCATAAATATGCTGGTTTCACGTTAAATATATCATTTGCAGGAAAAATAGGATTCTATAAACAAACATTGTTACTTAGTATAGTTTTAATACATAACTTTATTAGCCATATTTTAACTGAATCAGCAATACTTACACATGTCTGTTTCACCTGAACTGTTTCAGGACTGTAATAGAATTTTTAGTTAGGCATATAACATAATTTTTGCAAGCTTCCTCACTTTCCATGGCATTTGTTTTAGAAATAGTAGGTGATATGACCCGTCTACAAACTAGAGAAGTATCTAGGATATTTTTGAAGATAGATTTCTAAATGGATGAAAGTAAGTTTTATCAGTCTACTCTCAAGAAAGAGTAGTAATGAGTTACTGCCCCAAACCCCAACTAACCTATATTTTCCATCTCTTGCTTTCTTACTTTCTTTCTCAAATGAAGTCTGGTTGAGTTGCCCAAGTTGGTTTCCAGTTTATGATCTTCCCGCCTCTCTCACACTCCAGTGCACAACTGTTCCTGGAGCAAATGTTTTCTGACTGTATGTTTGCGTCAGTGGATTTATTGATGTCACTGATGCTGTCATCTAATTGCTGACAGTTCTTGTACTTTATTTAATTCATGAAGTATGAGTGTTGATGTTAAGACTGTTTGAAAGGTGAGAGAGCCTACTCTTAGGAGGCTTTAGTAATTTGTACAAGTGGTAGAGCCATGATTTGAGGACCAGTGTTTGTGCTCTACATCTCTTTAGTTTACATGTTCATTTCTCCCCATATTATGTAGAAACTATAGAATATAGTGTACAATACATAAAGCAGCTCACATTCGATTTTACAGGTAATGCCTTTTTGGGAAAAAAAAACCCCTCTCACTCTTAGCACTCTTTTTAGCCTTAATTGTTACATTCAGAAATGTTGCATGTCTCTTATCTGCAGCTTGGCCATGTTATTTATACCTGAAGTGACTAATCTTATAGAAGACTTCACCTTCAGGGCCAAATCACAGTGTTACTTTCCTCCAGTTGTCTCAGACATTAAATTATCTTTGTCAGAGCTTCAGCCAGATACTTTGATCCCTCAGATTTCTTTGATAGTATTTAAATTTTCATAGTATGTAAATTATATAATAAGTTAATTATTTGGAGAGAGGAGTGCCAAAATTCAGCGTGAAGACCAGAGTATAACTTTCAGAATTGGTTCTATCTTTCCATCATAGGACTCCCAGGAACTGAGCTTAGGTTGTTAGACCTGACAGTGTCTTTTCCTTGCTGAGCCATCTCTCAGGCTACTTGGTGAGAAGGAAGATGGTATACTTTTTCTTGTGACAAGATAGTTTCTTTGGTCTTAAAGAAGTAGAGGGTTCATAGGTAACGAGTAACAGAAGAGTAGTTTCAACTAACTTCCCACCTTGAAGTTTTTTAAAAGTTTAACTTTTTTTCTTTATCATTTACATCTTAGTCCTGATTATATTAATCTGTTCCTGTCTTCTGTTGTTCCCCCTCTTTCTCTGTTTGAGGCAGTCTGGAACTTGCTATGTAGACCATGCTGGCCTTAACACTTTCAAGGATCCTTCTGCCCTGTCTCCTAAGTGCTGAGATTATTAAGTATGCTTACCCTACCCAGCCCTAACGTATGGTGTTGAAGATATGGGGGTGAGCGGGGATTTCCTTCTCCTGTATTCAGGACATTTCTTCAGAACATTTATGTATGTTTGTTTGTTTTTATTCTTAATGTTAACATTCTGACATCAACTAAATGTCCTTTAATTCACTTAGAACACCTGTGTACCTCGAGTTCGTTTGGTCCTTTGGGGTGTTCCTTCTTGAGGTACCAGTTGTAAATTGGGTTATGGTCCATAGACTAGGACCTCTTTAATATACAATTTAATAAACAGTTGTGTTTATTATGAAGATGTTTTAAATACAAATAGATAGCCATTGGATGAGATACATAGGGCAAGCTATAGGAGAAAGGGGAATATATCAGTAGGTTTCTTATTATCCATATGTCCCGTAACCTAGAAGCTTCCCAGATTCTGCCTTTTGTATTTTTTTTTTATTTTTTTTAATAATTTTTTTTATTAAGAAAAGAAGAAAAAAAAACATAAACAAAAAACAAGTTTCCACCTCCTCCCAGCCTCCCATTTCCCTCCCCCGCCTTTTGTATTTTTTAATGTAGGTTCATTATGTAGGCATTATTGTAAAGTCACTGATGTTTTGTGATCAGCTCAAGTTTCAGACCATTTCTTTTAAGTTTAGAGGCACAGTGATGAAATTTCCTAATGACATAGCGCTTAGTGTGTATCCCCCATTAAGAGGCATATGCCATATATCGTAGTATCACATCTTTCTCCTGTGTTTGTACTTCCATTTTGTTTTAGTGAATGTTTGTGTTTTGATGTCTTTTTTTAAAAAAATATTTATTTATTTATTATGTATACAATATTCTGTCTATGTGTATGCATGAAGGCCAGAAGAGGACCAGACCTCATTACAGATGGTTGTGAGCCACCATGTGGTTGCCGGGAATTGAACTCAGGACCTTTGGAAGAACAGGCAATGCTCTTAAGTGCTGAGCCATCTCTCCAGCCTCCATATTTTGATGTCTTGATGTGTAATCTAGGCTGTCCTCAAATATGCTGTCGTGCCGTGGCCTCTCAGATTACAAAGATGACATTATGCCCAGAAATGCATTTGCATTATGCTCTGCCTGGCTGTATGATTGTAGAACTACTAAAATGTGTTGTTTACCCCATTCTCTCTCCCTCTTCCCTCCAGGTCTCCAGATTGTATCATGCTGTCATCTATACCAGTTATTGTTGCTATTCTCTAAGTGCTCTTATCATTATGTTCATCTCTTAAAGATTTTAGTTCTTAACTCAATGACTAACTGTATAATGCCTTAATGTCCGACATTTATAATACACAACAGTTTGCTCTCTCAACTCCCCTTAGTTTTTTTTTTTTTTTTTTTTCGAGACAGGGTTTCTCTGTGGCTTTGGAGCCTATCCTGGAACTAGCTCTGTAGACCAGGCTGGTCTTGAACTCACAGAAATCCGCCCGCCTCTGCCTCCCGAGTGCTGGGATTAAAGGCGTGCCCCACCATCGCCCGGCTTCCCCTTAGTTTTTGTAGGTTTTCGGTTTGTTGTGTTCTGTTCTGTTAACTCCCTCCTCCCCTTGCTTCTCTGAGATAGGGTGTATAGCTCAGGCTGGCCTTGAAGTCACTGTGTAGTTTCCCAAATACAGCAAATAATATCACATTGAAAGATGAAAGTCTTAAACTCTGTAAGACACCACAAATAGAATTTGCAGGCCTGAAAGTTGCTCTGGATGAGTAAGTCAATTTGAAGGCCTAGAAACTCAAACTATTACGATGTTCATAAGCACTTTATACTTGGGTTGCACTAAAGTTTAAAACATTAAAAAAAAAGACCCTTTGTCTTAGTTAAGGTTGTTATTGCTATGAAGATACACTATGGCCATGGTAACTTTTATAAAGAAAACATTTAGTGTGACTTCCTTACAGTTTCAGGGGTTCAGTTTATTATCATCACAGTGGGAGCATGGCAGCTTGCAGGCAGATGTGATACTAGAGCTGAGAAGGCTATATCTTGAAGGCAACAGGAAGTCAGCTGACAGTTACACTGAGGGAAGCTTGAATAAAAGAGACCTCAAAGCCTGCTCTCACTGTGTGACACTTCCTTGAACAAGGCCACACCTCCTTGTAGTGCCACTCCCTTTGGAGTCTATTTTGTTTCAAACCACCATAACCTTAAAACATTTTTAATAATAAGACTTGAGTTGTAAACATATATAGTATAGGAATTTTTCCATTATAGTCTGATGAAAATAGTCTGTTATTGACCAAAACATTATGTGTAGTATATTTTTATAGAAAAATTTTAAGTTGCATAAGTAGCCTTGCTTTATCTTTAAATTGGAGGCCTCATCTCTGTCTTGTGTGTGTAGTATATGAGTGCATGTAATTTGTATAGGCCAAAGGCCGGTGTCGGCTGTCGTCCTTGGTTACTTTTTGCCTAATTTTTTTGAGACAAGTCCTTTGCTAAACTTTGAGCATACAGATTGGCTAGACTAGCTAGCTAGCAAACCTCAGAGATCTTCTTTCCTCTCCACTACCTCAGCTCTGAGGTTACAGTCATGTACCACACACCTGGCTTTGTAGTAGGGGCTGGGCTTCTACACTCAGGCCCTCATCCTTACACAGCAAGTACTTTACCATTGGAGCACTTCCTTCTGAGATATTATTGTCTGTCTTTTGTGGTACTGCTTATTGAAGCTAGGACCTTGTACATGCTAAACACGCACTCTACAATTGAACTATACATCTCTGGCCTTGCTTTTTGTTTTTTATTTTACTCCTTTTTGTTTTATTCCTGAGTTATTTTTGTTAGGTTTATAAATCTTTTTTCTTTACTTTTGGCCTTTAAAGCTGTACTTCTTCATTCTTTTGTCTTAGTGATGGCTTTAGATGATGATATGTAACTCTACTGACTTAATGTCTATAAAGTATCTTTACTATTTCTCACTACACAAATTTAGTGACTTTGTAGAATAAGTCATTATTAAAAAACTAACTTGACTGCACATTATTCAGTCTTATATACAGTTGCTTAGGGTTTTTTTTT